TGTTAGCTCGCAAGTGATCTTTCACGCATAAGAGATAGTTATAGCACACGTGCGTAGATACCGACCATGCACTGGTCCGCGCTCGGGTGTGCTTACGACTGAACGGACGTAGGAAACAGCTGGCGGTAAAACCATCACGTCCCCAGCTCGATCAGGAAACTAAATCCGTATTTGAGGAAGAACTAGCTAAACACATATCTGTGTTCGACAGCTGTGCTCACCCTGAAGAAGCTTGGAAAAATATCCAGGCAGCCATAGATACAGCTGTAAAAGCTGTGAATAAGGTAAACCCAAAGGTGAGTAAAAACCACTGGATCTCCACCGCCTCATCCGAACTGATAGATGCTAGAAGACTTATTCCGGCGAGCTCCGAATTCAATGAGGAGCGAAAGCTGCACAAGAGGAAACTTACGAAAAGTCTCCGCAAGGACAGTGGTGGGCGACAAAAGCCAAAGAGATGGAGAAAGCTTCGAGGATAGGCAACACCAGGCAACTCTTTGGACTCATCAGGGAAACGGGTGGGAGAAGACAAATCATCAGTGAGACAATCTCGGAAAAAAATGGCACTATAATTAGCTCCCAGGATAGACGACTGGATCGTTGGAAAGAGCATTATGAGGAGCAGTTTAATTTGCCCACAGCCACGCTCAACCTTCCGAGCATCCAACACCTCCCTGAATGGGATATAGACACAGGTCCTCCGTCACTAACTGAGGTTACTAAAGCTGTCACCAATCTGAAACTAGGCAAAGCAGCGGGACCTGATGGAATGACTCCAGAGGTATTTAAGTACGGTGGAGACAGCTTACTGTCCGGATTAACTGAGGTACTAGGCAGCGTCTGGGAATCAGAAGAAGTCCCATCGGGTTGGTGTAAGTCACTGATTATCCCCATATACAAGAAGGGAGACAAGTCTTCCTGTGATAATCACAGAGGGATTAGCTTGACTAATATAGTATCTAAAGTCTTAGGCTCAATAATCATGCGTAGACTGAGTGGTGCTCGGGAAGCACAAACACGAGAGAGCCAGGCAGGCTTTAGACCAGGAAGAGGGTGTATTGATCATATCTTCACCCTCCGACAGATTCTAGAACATAGGCATTCCTACCGGCGTCCAACAGTCATTATATTTCTTGACCTAAAGGCAGCATTCGACTCTGTCGATCGGGAAGTTCTCTGGAGATGCTTGGCTGTAAAGGGAATTCCAAGAAAATATATTGCACTGATTAAGGCACTCTACTCGTACTCATACAGCCAGGTGAGGGCTTACGGCGAGCTGTCATCTGAACTGATGACGACCAGTGGTGTCCGTCAAGGATGCCCATTATCTCCTTTTCTATTCAACTTCATCATAGATGTGTTAATGGACTTAACCCTAGGTGACTTCAGCGACTCAGGGATTGACTTGCTACCGGGGAATAATCTCGTTGACTTGGAATATGCAGACGATATAGTCCTTCTAGGCGAAGACGCTGACGAAATGCAGAGTCTTCTAAACACCTTGAGCCGCAATCTACGAATGTTTGGCATGCGATTCGCTCCCGCCAAATGCAAGATGATGTTACAGGACTGGACTACATCGACGCCTAGTTTAAAAATAGGAAGTGAAGTGGTAGAGCACGTTGACCGCTTCACTTATTTGGGAAGTACCATCAGCCCCAACGGGCTGATCTCTGACGAAATCTCAGCACGAATACAAGGGGCTCGTTTCGCATTTGTTAGTTTACGCCGACTCTGGCGTAGACGAGATGTTCGACTATCGACCAAAGGGCGGGTGTACTGCTCATCAGTCCGCTCCGTCCTCCTTTATGGTTGTGAGACCTGGCCACTGAGAGTGGAAGACATGAAAAGACTAGCTGTCTTTGATCATAGGTGCCTGCGTTCTATTTCCCGTGTAAAGTGGCATAATAAGGTGAGCAACATGGAGGTTAGGCGTAGAGTTCTAGGTAAACAGGGGAAATCAATCGACGAAGTCGTGAAGCTACAAAGACTGAGATGGTTAGGACATGTGTTACGTATGCCAAGCCATCGCCTCCCTCGACGAGCAATGTTAGCGGATATAGGGTCAGGCTGGAAAAAAGCTAGCGGCGGTCAAACAAAAACTTGGCATCAGTCAATGAAATCCACAACAGTTGGTCTAAGCCACGTAGAAGGTGTAGACTTCCAGGCTGGGGTCCTCGGGACGGTAAAAATCTATGGTTGGAAACAATTGGTGACATGGCTCAAAATCGTTCTCAGTGGCGCAGATGCATCCACTCCCTGTGACTTATGATCTTCAATGAAACTGTTTTGTATTTCTTTATTACTCCTTTGTCTCACACCTCTGCTCACTGTTTCTATTATGCTTTTCTTGTACTTTCTTCTCTTGCTTCGCGTGCTACACGGAATGTGGCGACTTGAACTTCCGCACATTTGTGCAAAGTTCTATGTCGAAAACAGACAGACAGACAGACACGCTAGTTTAAAGTTGAACAAGAGAGACCCGCCACTCGACGACCCGTCGTGAGATGTTAGTCTTCGTATGTTTTTTAAATTATTTCCGACATAATCTTTCGGGGTACAAATTTCAGGTCTACAGACAAGAGACGACACTGGCGTCGGTATCATAATATGTCTGATCAGGAAGCTAAGTATTGGAGAGTCTTCTCAAGTGATTCATGACGGTCAGTCTGACATAGCTTCAACGGTGAACTTTTGAGCAAAGTTCGCCACTTGAAATTGCCACACTTAATTTAATCACACATAAAGGTAGATTTACAAAAAATGCAAACTAAGCTTCTTGGAAATAAATGCATGGAAGAAAGAATAAGTGAACGGTACGTCAGTACAGTATGCCATTGAGAAAAACTTTGAGCCATTTCAACAATTGTCTTCAGTCATTGATTCTTACCGTTTCGAAGAACCCAGGTAGATAGTCTATAACTCGAATAAATTATAATTATACTTCAATAGTTTAGAGTTTGTTTATATAGATCCTTTCGACATGTAAAATCTTAAGAGCTCAGTCTACCTAGTAGTTATGCTGAATACTGCAAACAGAATTGGTAATAATTATAACAAAATGATATTAATAATAATTACAAAGGCAGAAGTGATTCAATAAAGATTAGTGAAAACTACGATAACGTAAATGATTTCAATGAAAAATCTCTTCGAAACGTTACTTAATTAGATGTTACACGATAAACAAAACTTAGTTGATAGATGATCAAAGTTTAGACAAATAAAATAAATGCATGATAGGGCTAAAAATTAGTAAAGGAGTGCAAAATTTTATATGCATATTGGTCTATTAAGCTTATTATGACACAAAAGGGGTCAGAGGAAGAGTATGTAAGTTTTCTAGGCACATATCAGTGTTGTTAGACAGTTGAAGGCAGTCGGAAGTGAAGCCTTCTTCCAACTATTGAAAAGCCAATTAGAGTGCACCGCTGCGGTGATGAGCAAATTACAAATTGATTTACAGAAATGAGTCAGTACAAACGGAAACCTAGTGGTCAGTCATTGTATAGATTAGCATTATTTCCCCGAATAGAAACAGCTACGTGGAAAAGACGAATTCCAATATCCTTCAGACTAGAAGGTCGACTTCGATAATATTGGAACTAATCGAAACTGTTATGTTGCTGCTGCTGAGTGGTTAATAGTAGTTTTCCCCGTCGCCAAATTATTGTTATGTACTGGTCGAGAATTTAATAGTCCTGACGCAAGGAAGACGGAAATCAGAAGACCACTAGGTTTGCGATGATACTTCTATTTTCCAAAACACAAGGAGAAGCAAATGTATCACAATAGTGTGAGAGCAAAATATATATGAATGTCCAAACAAGTGTGTGAACAAATCAATGGACAGTCTTAACATGATTGGCTAATTATAATGGAGTATCGATCCATATATACATAGCGAAATATGATAGACTGTCAACAACCACACATATTATATATAATATAAGGGGAATATACATTGTTAAAGGAGACAGGTTCATCAAAGTGAAATGGTCACAGACTAAAAGAACAACAGAAAGAGAGACCACCATATATATGGATACATATCAGAAACAATTTGAAACATCACAAAAAATGTCTAATAGCAGGAGTACTTTAAATAACATCGAGTTAAAATTATCTGAATAACAGTGAGGGATTTTCTAGATTCCCCATCTCCCTAGTGTCAAATAGCCTAGATTTTGTGCTCCGTTAATCTAACTCACAATATCCTACTAGTTCGACCTCGCAATTAGCGCAGGGATACCAAATGAATTTCTTCAATGGGATCCACATGATTTCATACATTCATTCCCACTTATGAACTTGAATAAAGCAAGAACAAGAAGTTGTGCAGAATAAAATGGTACCATCGTATATTTGGTTGGCTTCTCATCAGCTGCTTTCAACTTAATGATACTGTTACTACGTTCGTGTACAGAAAAGTTCTAACATACTTGCAAATCTTACATGATATCAGTTGACGGGAAGTTCCGAACTTAGTGAACAGTGCTCAAAAAATTACACATATGTAGTTTTTACACAGGGGCTCAAGTTTAAACAAAGTAAATGTATGCAAACAATAGTTAAGAAGCTACGTAATGAAGACGAGAGGTACGCAAGATGAGTTGATAATAAATTGGGTGACAATGGAATGAGTTCAACTCAAATCATAGTCCAGCAAAATTACACCATATCAAAGGAGGGGTGCTGTTAAAGCCAAAGATTATATAATCAAATGAAAGATAGAATAAAGACATCCATTTGCCACGGCAATGAAAGACTGATAACTGCTTCTTTCTGAAAACACTAATCGGGTTTCAAGCGTTTGATAGATCGCTTCTGGAAACCTGAGGAGAATTTAGCTCCTTAGGCTATTCATAATTTAAAAGGAATTCGCGATTTCCACCTCATGACACTTATCGAAGAGATGTTTCTTTGAGACGTAGGCAAATCGATACATATTCAGAAAATCAGAGTTGTGCCCTTTCTTTCTGTCCTTCCAATGTAACTGCTCCCGCAGATACACGTAAATTTGTGTACACATTTAAAGTTAGAATGAAAAGGTTATCTGTCGACTTTTGACTGGAACAAACAGCACGTTGTCCGATAGATGGGAGCCAACTTAGCTGCAGAATAGGCTCTGGCTAGTGACGTACTCAATCTTCTTTCGATTATTTAATGTAACACACTGAGCTCTCGTTTAAGTGTTCCTTCTGGGCTATTTTAATCTGCCATGAATGAGGTGACAAATGTTCAATGTGTGAAAGCCTTTCAAAATGACGGTAAAGATATCTAGGAGCACAGTGGTCAGCTAAATGTGTTGCTGAATAGATTTAACAGAAAGAATGTAGATGCTAGACCTTCTGAACCAGTACTTCAAATTAACCAAATTTCACATACCATCCACCTTGAACAGTGAAAGCCACTTGTCTGATTCTGTATTTCAAAGTTAATTCTGAGCTTGAGTGCTTAACAGTCCAACTCTATTATCTGTAGTAGAAGTAGTACTGAGAATTCATTTTACGATGATCGTTGAACCGTTGTTCAGTCAGTGTAGACATGGGCTAGAAGTTAACACCGGACCTTGAACAGACTAACAGACAAAATCAGCTAAAGACTAGTAGTAGTAAAACCATTTCGCTTTGAAGAAATATCAGGATGATTCACAGACACGTTTGGACACATCTAATGACTATTCTAAAACATTTGTATGTATTACAGTTGACTTCAGTTTTTGCATAACTGGCAAAACTTCCTGCTGTGATTGACTATTTACTTTCAAACGATTCAAATTTTCATAGTAATATAAATTAATTCACAGACACATTTCGCTCTTGCTTCAGTCGCTTGTGCTGCTAAAGACTATTGACTGCTGCCCGACACTTACTTCATCAATACAAATAGTATCATAGGTCTACTTTCCCTAAGGAGCAGATTATATTCCACATAGTGATTGACTTATTTTCGACCTTGAACTGCGCAAAGAAGTGCAGCAATTCAATCAGTCACACTCCACTCCCCACAGGGAAAAAAGAGACAATTAAATGCAGAATAGTGAGGATTTAGTGGACCTGGGACACTATAAAACATGAATGCATCTGTGCCATTGAGAACAATTTTGAGTCATAACACCGATAGTCCCCAGACACTATTTCTTACCATTACCGAAGTCGCCAACCAGGCACTCTACACTTTCCTATGTTGCTCTAACTAACTATCGAAGGCCTCATTGATTGGTGCCAGGTTTTGATTTCACCAGTCTCTCAACTCCTTTTCAACCTAGTTATGTGTCGGCGAAAATTGCTCATTGAGGAAGGCGGTGAGTCAAAAGGTATGGCACGTGTCCCAGTCATTTCAATCGATGTAGCCACACGACCTCACTGACTGACTTGTTCTTTTTGCCTAGCCTCAATATTAACCACCATATTATACCACATAAATAGAAAGTGAGTATCTGTGGTTCGACACAGTGAATCTCCTCTAACCGAGTTTTATTTGATAAATGGAATTCAATTACAGCAAGTAAAATGTCAATATTACTGATCTAATGTATAAAAAAGCATATAAATTATGTTTGAAAAATATTTTTAATTATCTTGGACACATGATAGACCGACCACCATCAACCATTAATGAACTGCCAGTAGTAAAGGTTGAAGCAGAGCTTGAAAGAAAAGCGATAGCTTGAGCCACTTCTTCCACGGTGCCAGTTCGGCCTAGAGCGTGTGTATCTTTCGCCTTTGCTACAAAATCACTATAGTCCTTTTCTGACATTCCAGATCGTCGATGCAGTTCAGTAACGATAACTGCTGGGCTGTAGAAATAAAAGGTTTTGGTTAATGCAGAAATATTACTTAGGTTTATTGATGTAAGTATAAAACTTGGGCACTGTGGTAGAGTACAACTCCATTATGGATAAGATTTTATTTTGATAAATCACACAGTGTTGTACAGTTATATTAACTGACGACGTTTCGAGCACAAACTATTGCTCATAATCATATCAAGTTACACAACTGATTTTCTTAATTTATATACATGTGTGAAATCGATTAGATAATGGATTAAAAATCAATGTGAGATAATGTACATTCAGAAATAATAGTACAAGGGTTTTTATGGTCATCATAAGTTAGTTGTTAGAATGTTGCGACGTGTTTGAACTGAAACAGAATTTTAAGATTATTTATTATCCTCTTCTGATTTGACCGGCGGTAATAATATCTTCCATATTTATGGTATTTGCATTGAGTCATTTCTAATGCATGTCTTGGGTGTAGACTCGATGAATAAGGATTCCGTGATCAACCTCTCTCTCCACCTACCTATATTACTTTTAGAATTTTAACCCTATCCCACCCTATTGTGTGGCTGTTTGTTATTGCGTGAAGTGCAATAGCTGAGCTTTTTTCTAAATTACTTATCTTCTCGGGGTCAACCATTCTTACCTTAGCTAAATTCTTATGTTCCGACAATATGATTATCCCCACCTTCTTGTTTGACCTATGTAGCTGATCTCAAAGTCATTGCAGGGTATTTTGTGAATTATATTATCTTGTTTAATTGGGTTCAACGGGTCTTTTAGCCTACAGAGCTTGTCCCTGAGTGAGTTTCTACGTTTGAATGCCACCCTTATTCCTGCTTTATTAAGAATCCTACGTAGGGCCTCAGATGTGCTTTCCTTGTATGGTATAACAGTGGATGACTTATATTCTTTCTTATTTGTGTTATCATTAATAGTTTCACCATTATTTTTATTTTGTTTTTGGCATTTACTGATCTTCCTAATGAATTTTATAGGATAGTTATTCAACACTAACGCTTCTTCTATCTGTTTTATTTCGTCAATTAGGTCTTTTCTTGTGCTACTTAGTGCTATGGCCCGGTTTGTTAGACACTTCACTAAGTTAACGGATGAGACGAATTAAAGTCTAAATATCTATTAGAATGCGTTGGTTTTCTATAAACACTAGTGTGTATTTTGCCTTCTATTCGTTTTATCTTACAATCTAAGATAGCTTATTCCCCTTGTTCATTTTCTGATTCAAATGTGAATTTTATTCCCTCTACTTGTGAGCTTATATGTGTCAAGAAGCTAGAGATATGTTCTGTTTTTAACACTGTGAAAGTGTCATCCACATATCTCCACCATATTTTTGGAGTAGGATTAAATGTATTGAGAGCACTACTTTCCCAGCTGTCCATAAATATGTATTTCTAAAATCTACTATTGGTCTTATCGGGTAGCCTGGCTTATGTATTTTAATAGTACCATATATTCTACTAGCATTATTAGTTTTAGGCATTATCTTATCCATAATGGAGTACTTAGGTTTGTTAAGAAGAAAAAGGATCATGAGATTACAAAGTATGTGGAGATTTATTTATACTGACAAGTGATCACTAGGGCTTCTGTTTTGAACTACAGTAGTTATTCAGTACATAAAGTAAACTGCTACTTATTGAGTCGGAATTACAGCACACTGGTGGAGATTGTGTGTCAGCTTTTCCCTATTTCAGAGCTACGGTAGCAGAACTTAACGGAGACAAAGTACTGATGACAATGTTGTCAGCAGAGATGGTAATGAGAGATTTTAGACAAAGTAGGCAATCATACACAATTCTTAGCCACCTCCTTCAAGTACTAGGCAATACTCAATGAGCAAGAAAAAACTGTCGCCAAGTGGTGCACTAGTTAAGTGAAAAGAAGTAGGATCAGTTTGTGAACATGGTAGTAATTAAAATATTAACAGCATGTAAGCAGATACTTGCGAGCAACATAATATATAATTTGAAAGAAAAAATGAATCCTCCAAAGTAAATATTTTTCCTCATTATTTTTATTTATTAATATTATTTTTCCTGAGATCTCATATTCGCACTTTTTTATTTTGATGTTAACATAGAAATATGGCGGCCTAGCAAGAATAAGCTTCAATATTTAACAGGTCAATTAAGTTACTTTAAATGAATGAACTAGCATGAGTTTGACTTACACATACAAATGCAGTCAGAACGAAAGCAGAATACTTAAAAGTTGCCTTTATGAACGACCTGGCATGGCCAAGAGTGGTCAGACTTCGGTCTTCCTCTCGAAGTGCACTCATGTCGCCACACGATTACAGACTCCCTCTGCAAGCTAAATCTGATTCACTGCCTTCACGTGGCCAGGGTGTTCGTCACAGAAAATGGAAGGGCGAACGTCAAAGTCTGAGGCTTCCAGTCTGACTGGTGGAGATGCACATCTACTTAGGGGAACTGGAACACCCTGATTCCAAGCCTATGACGTACATGGATTCCAGAATCCGATTGAAACGAATGATGTGTGAATCTATATCGGTCAACAGGAATCACGAGAACGTATCTACTGGCAAAGATTTAATACCTTGTGGATCAGATTTCAGATCAACGGATCAGAAAGGAGGGAATGGTCTCCTTAAGACAATCATCTATTTCATTTTGGATGTCCAGTCAGAATTCCAGACTTCGTACAAACTATTAAACTTTGGGTGGCGCATCTTTTAGTGCATATACTGTGCCAAGTTTGTGTTTAAAAATAATAAGACTTGAAAGTTAAGGTGATCATACAAAAAATGTGGTAGTTGCAAACTTCAACAAAGCAACACTCTCAGTGTCATCAGTCAATTCCGCCAAAAGTACACCAACTAAACAACCACAGGAGTTCGATGAAATGTCACCAAAAAATTTGCCTTTTCTTTTCGTTTCATTTCCATGAGAAAAGCAGCAGTAAACTTAACCTTACTGGAAGAATCGCAGTTTAAGTAGAGCATTAATAATTTCACTTTGAAATTATGATAACAACAATTACACATAATGTTTTATAATAACAGAGGTTAGTTGGTGCATACAGTTAACACGTACACAAAACTAAAACCATTTTGTATCAAAACAACACGAATGTTTACCTGACACCATTTACTCGAATTCCTTTAGGAGCTAAATCTGAAATGGAAAAAATACCATATAGAAAGCATTATATTGTGATCAAATAAACATTTATGATAGAATAAGTCTAAACAATTCATTCAGATCAACAAGACATTCATTTGTTCTACGTTTTGTTTTACTAAACAGGTCCCAAGGAAACGGAATTCAAAACTCGGTTTAAGAAATCCCTTTACAGTGGTCTCCAGGCAGCAAGAAACATTTGATGTAATAAGTACCGAACCCTTGGATACCATACATCTCGTTGACCTTATTAGCAGTCATGTATTTTAGCTAACGCAGTTTCATTTCGCAGGTATTATTTCGCTTAATCACGTTTCTTATCTGTTAAAGAGACCTAATCGAAATTTCAAACTGATTGAGGTAAATAACTCGCATAGTATTCATCTTCATCGCCTCGCTCCTGTGGTGACTTTAAAATATTTTAAGAAAACAAACAACCAGCTGAGCTAGTACACGCTAAACCTGCTACAGTTCGGTTAAGAAGTAGGCATTTCTTGTGTGAGACTATCCGCTGCACACAACTTACTATTTCGATTGCTTTCAGTGTCTGCAAACTCAACTGTCGTGAGTACTTCTAATTCCACACATCACAACATATCAGTCCAGCAGTACACACATACAAATTAGAAACATATTAACCTTTCCTGAAAACGGAACAAAACCACTTATCAATTCCTTCACCAACTCTCCCAAATGTAATTTCCTATTTATACTTCATATAAAAATTGCAATTATAACAACGACTTTCCCTTAAAACTCCCACCAGTTGCGTACAACCTATTAACTTTAACAAAATTACAAATTAGGTGACAAATTTGTTGTTAGGCTGGTAAAATATTAGTAACAATTACTTAGTTAGATAAGAGAAGATCAAAATTTGGTGTGCGAAAGCTCAAATGAAAAGATAACGATGTAATACGGTGAGTAGAACTCAGGTCAAGAAAATTAATCTCCTATAGAAGTCAAATAGGACAACCAGGGGTGTGTTCGTGAAAAGAGAAGTTAATGAAATTAGAGAACAAAGAGTTAGTAAGGGATGAGTCACCGAGTGGCTGAAGTACAACAACAGATTCCTTTTGGAAACATAGATCAGGTTTCAGCTGTTTTTTCGCGATAGCAACACTCTATCTGACTAGGTAATTGTCACTAATTTTTCACCACCCTAACAAAAAATTTATCGATGAAATTTTCGAGAAACCCCCAAAAAGAGGTAGTACTTCAGATAGCCTTATCATCCTGATTTTTTATTTTGCTGTGACGCTCTTACAATGTGTCCGTTTAAAGACGAAAGTATGTTAAATTTGTACACTGACTTATTTTGTTCAACATCATAGGTTGTACGCAGCTGGTGAGGACCAATAGAATAAAATGGAGTCATGCTATTCTGGACCAATGATTCGTTCTTTATCTGGTGAAATATTGAGTGGGAAATGAATAACGATCATTTGCAGAAGTGAGATTTAGTTGGTGGTAAAGTAAGTTGTGGTCGGTAGAAAATGTAACGTGAACCGATGGTGTTTTGGAGTTAAGTCAATTTCTCAGCTGCTGGGATATCTTATTTACTAGGCACTAAATTCCGCTTTGCTATACACCGACACAATTATTCAATTTGGAAATGCACGTGATAAACCGTCTTGACAGGTGACAGCGGCTACAGAAAAGCCTTTAACACTTCAGTTTCTTTCAGTTTCCACCGGTCATTGTTTTTCACAACGCCTCTAAGGATGCGGAAGTTCGCCTAGTAAATACACTAATGGATGATTAGTCACATAACATGCTGGTAATTCCCTCGTTATTACAAATTACTATATGAATATCAAAAGGTTAAAACAGTTAACAAGAAACCGAACATGATTCATCATGTTAGCGATTAGATCAAAGACCATATTAATAGAATAAACCTCTGATTAAGGATTCAATTGATTTTGAAAGAAGACATATACAAGCCATCGTATGCAAACTACCGTGAGTCAGAAAACCAAAAGCGATTTGAGACACTGGACTTTGAGGTTATCGAATGATAATTAAAGGCAATTAGAAGGATTTAATGAATACCAGTTCTGAATTAGGCAGTGTTCAAAGCTCAAATATTCTCGGAACTACGAAAAGCAAAGGTATCCAGAATGCCTGCAAAAAAACGTTACTCAATGCTGCTTATTAGAGTTCCATGAGCTATGCAGAAGCATGAATGCAAATCAAAAAGCTTGTATTTTTGAGATTATTGTGAAGATTACATAAAATAGTAATAAGAAAAATACATACTTTGAAACCACTTTACAAACTAAAAGAACATGATTGGAAGCGGGCTTTGCTCGACGAGTGATTATTGTGGCATTCTTCTTAAACGTTAGCAGAGATCAAGTTTAGTGGCATTAACAACGTGAGAATAAATGTTTTACATATTGAAACATTTCGAAGTAACGAACTGTCCTAACCTGAAGATAACGATGTACTTTATCGTAAGAGCTGTAACTACTACCTTCATTTCACACGCAATTTCAATCGCTGGTTTGCAGTGATTTCACTGACTTCAAGTTAGATGACGAACTACTTCAGTTAGAGAACCACCGAAACACTATACTGAAAATAGAAAATTGCTAGAAGTCAGGCCCAAGCAGCTGAATCTCCAACACACCTGGTCTCGTGACCTGAACGTTTCGGATTTGATCCCTGGTAGAGTTGTAGGTGGGTACTGGTGAAGAGTCTCCAACTAGAGCAAAACAACTACCCACTGCTCCCCAGTTTTTAATAGTTCACTAGGTGAAGTCAGTCCATGACGTAACTTTAAAAGTATCCAACGAAAATAGAGAAAGACAAGCTATATGGAGATACTAGACACACTGAATTAGAAAGGGTTTTCATATTCCTCATGAACCCAGTCTTAACTCAAGTATTTGATGACGTGGTTCCGGTAATTCATTACAATAACTATTATTAACATGGAATGACAAAATGAAATGACAAAAACAAGAAAACAAACTGTTTGGAGTGGAAATCTTCCATCTCCTTCTTTCAGGAAAAATTCAATTGTAATGTGAAGTATACTTACCTAGCGCAGTGCACCTGGTAAATTGATCCAATGCTGCTTTGCTAATACAGTAAGACATTACTCCAGGAAACTGAAAACGAAGGAAAATAGCGAGTTCACAGTGACTTAGTCTCCAAGCGTTAGATGTATCAATGTGATCCCAAACATCATTTATCAGAGCCAATACACGAGTGATTCGTTCAAAATCAAGTACGCGTGCCTACAGCAGAATCAGATTCCTACGATCCATCATAGTGGAACTATGTAGGGGTTTGACTGGTTACAAGTGAGAAGTCGTGACCACTGGGATACAGTAGGTCGGGTTTGACGACAAATACTCACCACGGATGACATCAGCCAATCGTCGCGCTAAATCGTGAATTGGCAGAATTTGGAATTCATGGACCGACCATTGCATCGGGTCTCAGTGGCTTAATGGCCTACGAGCTCGCCCTGTAGTTGGGAGGTCCTGGATTCAAACGCCGGCAGGAGCTAAAACGAAGCGACTGTCCAGTACTCCCAGGTTTTCTAAAAGTCCTCTAACCGATGTCAGCCCATGATGAACTAGTGGGACTATATAATTTGGGAATTAATTTTCTTTAAATAAAACTTTACTATCCGTGTGATTTCCACGAATATGACTTTCACAGATGATATGATTTCGTTCAATACAATCTTTCCTGACAGGTTAGGGAACTAATCTAAATTTTACTCCCGTTTTACACCACCAAGAAGTAAAAATAGGTACATTTCTAAAACACATAGTCAGTTAAATGTTTCCCACTATTGACAACTCGTTAAGGCTCTCACGTGCATCCGTGGACAATACAAAAAGAGAAAGGGTTAACCATAGATATAGGAAAATAACAATGGAAAAGTTCATATCCTAGTCTGGAAGTGTTTTTTTTCAAACGAACTACCGGGCTCACACTTGGTAAATATTAATAGATTCAATGTGATCCTCAAATATTCCGTTCTAGTGAATATTTTATGTATTTAACTCAACATACATACCAATGCTCAATTTGATAATGGGTTACACGAATTGTATGAGGGTTGATGTTCGAACTCAGCACTTAGTCTAATGACATACAGACCTACTAAAACATACACAGGATTCAACACAGAACTTGGCAACGAACTGCAGCAGTTCGAGTTGCCACGTACACATATACTAAGGAATGAATACTAGCGTCGGTGGCACAGCGGTTAAGACTCTCGCAGATCACGAACATGGTCCGGAGTTCGATCCTTTGCCGACGCACACCTGATATCTATGGTCGGCCTGCATATTTGAGCTACCGATATAACATGCTGAAAATTCCATAATTGTACCGAAAATACGGTGTGGAATCAAGCTGTAATCAAAAAAATAAATAAATAAATAAACTAAAAACAGTATCTGCATAAACAATTACATTAAAGAATGTATTTCAAGACTCACCGACCGATTGCCACAAACACTGGATACATTTACAATGGCACCTTTAGTGACAGTAAGGTCAGGAATAGCAAGATGAGTTAAAGAAATTGCAGCAGTTAAATTGACTTTCATTAAACGATCAAATTCATCCACATTGAATGTTTCTGCTGTATCTCGTATCATACATCCAGCATTATTAACCTAGTGACATTAGAAATGAAAATTTAACAAAAAATTACTCATTACTGGTAATACTCCTTTAGAAGACTCTGGTAAGCGAAGAATACTTGCCTACAATACTCTTCAATTTATCCTGGATTTGTTGGCTATACTATTCTTTCGGGCTCCAAATAGAATATGGGGATTCAGCAGCGCATCCACATTTCATCCTCGGACGCCCAACCCATTGCTTCTCACTCGGGCGTTACTCGAGGGCCTGGGACGCAATGTCACTCAAATGTCTTCTCAACGCATATCCAGTCCATCTCCATTTTCTTCGGCATATCTGTCGGGCAAGAGGTTCTTGGTTGGTTCGCCGCCTGCAAGAGTTCTTTGTTGCTAACTTCTCCTGGCCAGGATTCTGATATTCAGTACGGAGCGAAGGTAGTTGCTGATAAAAGTCAAGCAGTGGAACTAGGAAATTAAAACTCAAAGGCCTAACACAATCCAACCATTTTATCCTTCTCTAACTCCTATGATAAAAAGGCCAGCTCACAAATTAGGTATTGAATAGTTGCTTTTTACAGGCTTAGTTGCATCAGCTGCCTGGGCAACAAGTGAGAACTTGAGAGTATCCAAGACCCACTCAGGGTGACATCCTATTTTGATCAAATTCGGAAGAGAATACGGAAAAGAGTGCACGACATTGTAGATGGAAAGCTGAAATTATCCAACGTGGTCATCAACAAACATTAAAAGCTGATGCAATGCAAATGAACTGTAAAAAAATACTGTATTTTAGAGGTTTGAATTACCAGTATATCAAGTTGATGAAAGTGGTTAATAACCAAACGGTAAGCTTTTTCAATTTCCTTTGAATCGCTTAAATCAGCTTCAACGCACAAAAAAGGCTCTTTGTACTTTGCATAGACTTCTTTTTGAGCTGCTTTAATGCATGCTTGCCGAGTCTCCTCTAATCTTGTTTTATCTCGAGCAACCAAAGCAATGCATGCTCCCAGTTCTGCAAACAAAACTGCAGTTGCCCTTCCAATTCCTGAACTTGCTCCTAAAAACAAAAAAGAAGCACAGCATTTACTTTAATTGGATTCATCATGTTTCAAATGTCTATAAAATTTGAATGAAAATGTGTGACTTTCGGCCATGTTCTATCAGAGGTTAGCAACTTTCTTTGCTTGCTAAACTGTATTGTATAGAAAGTCTGGTAGAAACAAAAGCATCTGCTGCTATGATCAATAGATGGAATCTGACAGACCATTACTGTCATCTCAGAAGAGACAGTTGTTGTCACCTCTGGCATATGTGTGAAGACTGGTTCACACAAGGTTGGGAATATTTTCTCTGCTTAGGTTTTATGAAGCATCTGCAATACAATTAGCAGTACCCTAACTTAGTCACTACGCAAGTCAGCCAGAAACTGTGCATGGTACGACAGTACTACAGTAGCTTTCAATTCCTAATTATTTATGCCATTTTCATCACTACTTTTATTTTTCCCACTAGTCTCCAAATATTTTCTGGTGGGTAGCCATTCACTAGTAATAATTTCCTCATTTGTTTGACTTCATTACTTAAATCTTCCGACTTACTAGTTAGGCTCCTTACCCGAATATATAAACAACTAAATCTACCTTTAGTTACATGTTGATATAATAATCGGAAAAGATATTCAATTGTATGCAATCACACAACAGGATAGGGTAGTCAGGTGGAGAGAGAGAGGGCTAGATTAATCACCGAATCTTTCTCCATCGAGCCAACATCAAACAAGTGCAATCGAAGTGGGGCAATGCCTATACCAAGTATGTAGAGGGGAAGAGAATATGTATTTACATAAAGCAAATTATGAAGCTCTGTGAACGGACTGATATGCAAAGAGCAATAAATTGTTCTCGAAACGTCATCCGGCTGACATCCTTGTTTGTTGTATCAATAGACTTATCGAATATAGAACCATATTTCACCACTGCCCAAATACACTTTCACTAGGTTACAAACTATTGTACCCCAGTAAAAATATGCATGTCAATCCCCCCAGATTTGCTAGCTTATTGCCTGTTCGCTTGCATTTCAATGACGTCTTAGTCAAAGTGGGCATTTCGAATAAAGCAGCAATTCCCTACTAAATACCGAACAACAACAGGCGATAAACACAATATCAGCAATGTTGGTAACTTAGCACAGTCAACTTCGTTTCACAACTGACTTCACTATGTGGGGGGTAATGGAGTAGAAAGGACACTTTCTACAGTTGGTGGTGATGGAAATCAAAATAACCATCTGATGCTACTTTTTATTGAAAGAGGGTGTAAGCAAACGACATCTCAAAAGATAAAAAGCACCAGGTTCGCCCCACTGAGTTCTACTGTAGGTAGCATATAGTTTGTAAAGAAATTGCATTAAGCACAACCTCTTTCACTTTAAGTTAAAATTCTATGTAACTAGGCTCCAGCAGATATTCGTCTGGCCCGTGAGACTCAGGAAACAAATAGTACACAATACCAGTTGTTCTTCCTAACCAAAATGAGATGTTCGTTCAACATTACTGAAGAGGTGTGACGGTGAAAAAAAAGTCTATTTAAGAAGTGGTATTGAACTAAAGAGTCTCCAAAAACATAATAGTGTAACCTTACATATCTGAAATAGTCAGAAAGACGAAAAATTGATGCGTAGATGCACTAGATGTTATTTTTTTATAGTGGTTACAGTGGTTTAAATCATCCTACGACATTTCATTTTGTTTGGTGCTTCTCAGTCTCGTCACATGCTCTTGATAACCATATCACTTATTTTCCATATTAGTACCTGCTTTTTTGTGATTTGTCATATCCAACAAAACTATTGTTCTTCCATATTACTATTCTTTTCCCCTCAGACTTCTGTTTAGTGCCTCTTTTGAATCTCTCTTCTCTTTGTGTGCTACATGGGGAGTGGCAACTCGAACGGCTGCACATCTGTGCAAAGTTCTATGTTGAAACAAGTCAGTCAGCGAAAGGTAGGAAAACTCATGAATAGTATATAACATGAGATTCAAGCAGAGTTGTAGGACTTTACTACATTTCGATCGTTACAAGGAAGAGGGACAGAACTCTGTTAATGATAAACAACTGAAAGATTTACGCATTCCATCAAAAAAGAGAATCAAGAGTCTCAAGGCTTGTAAGTACACAACTATTGATCGCAACTTGTCAACCTCCGTGACTAAAAGTTAGACCCTAGTAACTACTTGTGTTGTTCTGCATCGATTCTAAGTTATTAAAGCTAAAGCTTACCAACATTTAAAAATTAACGACCAAAGACTTATCATGAACAATTAGTCTATTAAATAGTAACATGCGAATTCAGAGGCTAACTGCGGCTTCCATATGTTCGACGTCAGCAACATTTAAAATTTCGGATGCTTAGACCAATTAAGTGTCACAGAAGAGAATTGACAGGATGAAATGCGAAAACTAGGAACATACGGTTACCTGTTATTAGAGCTACCTTTTGTGAGAGAGATATCATATCCGCTTGTTTCTGAAATAAATAATGAGGATTACATGAGAACAAAATCAGCAAAGAACTATGAAAAACACATGTGTGAATATATCTATATTGAAACAAATTTAACGTCTACATTTCAAATAAAGAAATCAAAATGGATTTAAAATAAATGCGGGGATCAAATGCAGAGTAGTGCTGTCAAAGGCGAACTACGACAGCTGCACCAATGACGTGTCAGCAGTGGTTGCTGCCAACCACTTCGCATCCTCCTCCCGAAAGAGCAGTCGCTTGCATTCGCATAGATTTTGTCCTAAAATAAACGTTTGACGACAACGGGTGAGCCATATAAGCTTCGTAGAGTTTCCCATTCGTTCTTCCAAGTTATCTTTACTTGTCCAGTCACAACTGTCAGGACCAAAACATAGGAGTCGTCTAACAATAGGTATGCAAACGAAATCTACTTACTTGCAAGAGCATTCATCCTCAATGTCTTTGCATCTAGCTCTAAGCTTCGGTGACAGTCCATTTGATATAACTTCTATGGTTTTCTCTTCAATCGGCATTGGATTCGGGATATTTTTTTCAAAAGACTCCAAGTCTCTTTTGCTGTGTTTGTGCTTCATAAATTCTAGAGGGTCTCGCTCCTCTTTTTCTTCTTCATCATACTCTTCGTCTAAAAATTAGTTGCGCTCTCATATAATAAGCATGTTTTTAACTTACACACTTTAATAGCGCCAACGCCTAACAACAATAATACCAAAAGCCTATCTCTCATCTCTGACCATCATAATCCTTGAAAATATTCCCAAGTCCCGCTCAAAAAATGTGGCTTAGACAGTGTACAAGATCCAATTAACATATATTGTAGAGTGTATTCGCCTAGGATTTTAATTTGTTGATTGTGGCCAAAATGAAGTATCACCAGCGAAAAAATGTTTCTGATTGGTTCTGGTCACTTGGAACTACTCGGTCACAGTCCTTGTGTTGCGTATGTTTATTGAGCTGATGATTAAAGTGTTCAAAGGAAGATGCAATAGCCACAGCTACTGGTAGGTCGTTCCATGGACAGCCAATTTGAACTAAAAAGAAACGGAGACACTCTGGAGTATTTGCAGTTATGGTATGTAAATCTGCCAACCAGTGCAATAAACAACTCGATGTATAGTCCATAATTTTTCACTTTATTATTCTGCTTGAACTCACTGTCATAACACCATGAAATTTCATTCAACATGCATTTGTCGGAGCATACATTTTCATCACCGACTCCTTACATTGAGGCTTACTATAATGGCTCGAGAACGAAACGGGTCAGTTGGTTTGGTCATTTAATTCAGTTACCTGTTTCGTTATGGCGTGGAAAGGCTCTCAGAAATACACGCAACATTTGAAAGTGACGTGGTCATTGACACGGTGCAGTGGCGAAGATGATCAGGCCAGCATTCTGCCTGCTGTTTCCCGAAGAAGAATTCGAAATTGATCGCGGTGGCTGCTATAAAACACTTTCAGATGATGAGTTTTTGAGTTCGGACGATATGATGACACGCCAGGATGACTATTTTGCGATTGTCTCCAAATGTAAGTAGCTGATTTGGATCCATATAAGTACAGCAATTCATTATTATCCCCTTAAGTTCTCAATGGAACATGTGGTTCCAGAAGCACAATTTCATCCTGTTTCTGGCAGTCCTCTGTGTCAGGCTCTGCGATCACCAATAAGAATCCATCACCATGTCACACGATCTCCTCCATGTCATACCCGGACTCAATCTTGACTTTTCGTTTTCAACTCACTTTCTCTCGAGGGACTGGAACTCAGGGTCACTGAGTTGTCTTCTCAAAGTGAATCCAGTCCACCTCCATTTTCTTCGGCATATTTTTTGGATGACAGGCCGTCGGCTGGCTGCTTCCGGAGTTACTTGTTCCGATTCTTTCTGGACGGACACCTATTATTCAGCGTATAGAAAAGGCAGTTGTCGATGTGTACGCTCTGTTGTAAATGCTTTTTGCGATGCACACTGCGAGCCTCCATGTAGTAGCACTTACATGACACTAATGTCGAAAATCTGTATCTTCCTCACGCAGAGTGAAGCACGTTTTCTCACTGATTTCAGACAGCTGATCAGTAGATATGGTGGTGGTCACTAAGGTGAATCACCCCATTCTGCAGGAACAGCAATATGCAATTTGAAGGCTCGAGATATTTCTGATTTTTATGAGGGCATAGATCTTTATCTTGAAAAAGATAATAATGAACGCCTTGACAGATCATGCTTCTACCTTTAAATATATACCATTTGCTCAGCTTATTGTTGAGATGTGACCACGCGGGATCTGCACAGATTTATGGGGCATCTTATAAATTAACTTGCTATCCATCGTCAGATCTTTAAATACCACTTCACAATGTCTTATCTTATTCATTTTCTAATGACGTCTTTACTTGATCCTCATTATATTCCATTAAACCTAACATTTTACAGATCTTTATGAATTTGATTCGACTTATTCTATTCCTATTCTCTGTAGGGTACGGCTGTGCACCAAATAGACAAAAAGGCATGAAATAAAAACAACTGGCTTGAAAATAATTGTATTAAAGCCAAAAGTGGACATCATGATAGTACGAGGTATATTGGTATCATTATACATTGCAAATGAACGTTGTCGGCCTAAGGATTAATTACTTCCCCATTCTGTTTTCTATATAAATGTATTTATTAATGATATATTGCACTTGCTTAATTTATTACACTTTAATAATTCACCTTAGCACTTAAACTTTTCTAAAACAGCTTCCAATCCCTTGTAAACGTTGTACTTACCTCAATATTGATTGGTTATCGTACGCCTGCAACCACGGGATGAAAACGAAACGAAGTCAGTTTTCCTGCGCAACCTGGAGGACAACTGTACGATTCAATAAGTATACGGCCTGGTTCAGACAATGAGTTTAATATATATATATATATATATCAAATATTTAACAGTTGAAACATTAACTTGTAGACAATTTAAGATTTGACATTATACCATACTTGATCGTTCCTGTAAAAAAGGCATGCATTTTCATGTAAATTTATGTTTATATGAAAATAAAAATTATTATTATTAAGGTATGGTTTGCTTTCTCTGGCTTGTCTTTGACGTATTCATCTGTGCTACTTGTAGCCGAAACACTGCTGCCTAGTAATGTAAGTGAATGGTGTGACTGCTTAAGTTCCCGTTGCTGGGGACTATTGCTTGTTATAGTCGAATGATTACTTTCATTCCTCCATCTTATGTGTGTCAGCTTAAAGCTTTGTCTTCGCTGTCTCTTCCACCAACTTGCTGGTTTTCGCATATAGGCCCTCAATTTTGTGCAGAGTTGGACATAAATCATTCGTGGAGTTCAGGTCTTTTAGTGCCTTTACGGTGGTCCAACGTATGCCAAGTTCTACTATTATCCACAATCAGAAATATCACAGGTGGCAGTAGGTAGCTTCGTCTCGCTACCGTCTTCACTTTAAAGGCTTCTCTGAGCTTTTGTTGTGAATCGCTTGGCATGAAGCATCATGTAGCTCTTGGACGAGGTTGACAAGAGTTTATAGAAATTCATTGTGTTGAAGAGTTTTCCAAGTTGCTTCGTGACTGACAGTATCGATGACCTCTTCGGAATCAATGAAGTCCTGTGGGAGCATTTGATCTCTTCATTTATGTTATATTAGGATACTACTACTGCACTGGTCTTCACAGAGCTGTATTTCGACTGGTTTCTGAGATGCAGTATTTCTAACCGAGAGTTAGGCAGGTGAACTACTGTGCTGTCTGTGACGTAATATGACATTTGAAAAGCACGCATATCGGTAGAAACATGTTACAATTGTCATTAGGTCACACACATGCACTATTTTTGTCTAGGCGCTTCTCTTTTATCAAACGATCTGTCTGTTAGCCGAAAGATGACTAGTAATGGCTGTTTTATGTATGTCTTCCACAGCTATCATACATTGTGGTGGGCATGAACTAGGTCTACTTCAGTAGATATTGTGGTGCCTCGAAGAATATTAGTAAATTCTTGAATGTTTCGTACACAGTACCTGTCCTTGACAGGTGGTTTATCTAGCGCTCTGCAATCAGCACACCTGAGTCACCTGGTCTAATTTTTCCTTAGCAACATGTGCAACGCTGAAGCCGACTATTAATTTGAATCCCGAGTAATTCCCAGCCAGACCGAATACTCGAATTCCGATTTCGTTACTTCCAGTTTTTGTGGAGCTAACTTCCCTGGTTCAGCGAAAAGTAGGAGCCACGTGTCCTTATTGAATTAGTAATTTTCGGAACAAAATTGGATGTTTAGTGGTTGGTTGTCGTCTGATATGTAAATTTCGTCTGTATTTTTGGGACATTTGGAAGAAGAGAACACGAAGTTCAGTAAAAATATCTTTTCGCCGATTTCATGTCCATAAGCTGTACGATTGCGTTTAAATCCACAATTTTGCGCACATACAATCTTTACTTGATTCCGCGTAATTACGATGGCGAATAAAAGGTGACAGTTATTTCCAACTAGATATGGTCTACGAGAGGCTTAGAAACAAAATTACACAGGATTGGAACGGATTACAATTAAGTAAAAGTGAACGTGGAAACAAATTGAAATAGCAATTTTCAACTTGAAATGGAAGTTAGGATGTGTGAATATAGATCACAAGAGCCTTAGAAACAAAAATTACATGGGATTAGGATATGATTGTAGAATACTGACTTCAAAAGAATTATTAGTGTCAACAAGAAAAGCATGGAAACAAACTCAAAATAACTGTTGTTATAGCTGAAAAAATTGAGTGAATTGAATGAAGACTGAGATAATAGGAATCGCACACACAGCGAACGAAAACATTCAAAAAATGATCCAAAAATAATGAAAAAACGGAGGCTAAGGGAATATACGGAACTAGATCCATGGTAGTTGTAGAGTTTGGAACAATTACTTTTGAACACACAGCTCCGGCTTTTTGATGCATATGTCAGCCACGTCTCATAAACCATTAACGCCCAGCTCTTGCTGCACTCGGGCTCACGCTGTTCCTTGAAGTTTCTCAGAAACGCTTAGTAATAACGGACGAAAAAACCAAAACACCAATTGGCGGCTCGAGGATTCTTTATTGTTACACCAACATATAAAAAATGTTTCCACTAAGGTCTGTGAACAAATATTACAATAATAAATCACAATATTACTTCTGACGGTTGTCTCCTGACTTCTTTCTGAACAGCGACCGATGAGACGATGACTGGCTGATTGATGCCTCCGCGAAAATTGGGGAAGTTGGTTTTGAGCAAACAACCATGAATTGATCGTTCAATCTTCAACTACATTGACAGCATATTTTGAGGGCTTCTGCAGTACAGAGAAGTAGGAAACACACTGCTTTCGGTGGGTTTCTGTTGACTTCGTAAATTACTTTGAATGAGTCAGTTGAGAAGTTGTGGAAGATGTTGATCAGGTGTTCAATAGTGGCACTTCTGATTGAACCGGTGTCTACTCTTTGCAGCCAACCTAGGTAATGTTTTCTAACATGTTTTGAGAGGACGCGCTCACAACGACCTATGTAGCTACCTCCACACGAGCAGGTGAACTGACATATGCACATCGAATCGGTCATGTGCGAAGGCTTGTCTTTAGGATTGTTTTGAAGCATCGGACGGCCAGACGATGTCACTCTTAGCATTGCTGCAGGAAAAGGCTTCTTTAAATAGCTGGATATTCTCCTCATCATGATATCGGTTGCC